GGGTGGACATGGCTACAGCCACCCTTGGCGTGGGTGAGGACTGGTTCTGGGGAGTGACAAATGGAGCTACACTCCAGCACCCACTGGCACTTGTGAGGCTGGACTAGGTCTTGATTCTGACTGAATCATGTGAAAGGTAGGTCTGGGTGTGGACCTGGTGTGGCTGGGCTACAACATCCAACAGTAAGAAACAAAATGGGTGTGGACCAGTTGAGCAAGGCCACTGTTCCTGCTAGTACAAGAGGTGGACAAAGTCACCCTGGGCCAAGGACTCGTTGTTGCGTGTGAGATCTGTGACTGGGAGGAGACTCGAAAGAGGAGCTTGGGAATCTCCTCCATCAGGATGCAGTCCCTGCAGGTAAGTGCAAGACCCAAGGCAAGAAGCAGCCTGCACCATGCCAGATTACAGTACCCAACACCATACATGTGGGTCAAGTTGGGACGGACCAGGCTGGGGCAGTTCATAACACTCACTGGCAGATCTGAGAACCAGAACGGGGTGCAGGGGCCCCAGGACAGTGCCAGAGTCAAGCTCCAGCTGAGTTTGGAGCTCGAGAAGGGTGCGTGAAATAGGCGTAGAGAGAAGAAACGAACCATTACAATTCCAAGATCATTGTGGACAATGCGAGAAAGCTGTCTGCTTTATTTCTACAGAAGCAGTCACAAGTTCTGGCACAGACCTTTTACGTCGTGGTGTTGCACCCACTCGACAGCAGAGTGTGGCCCCAAGCAGTACAATTACAAAGTTTTCTTTAGGGGCAGTTTGACATTGCTTCAAGGGGGGGGGGGCACAATTTACAACAGCTTGAGAGGTGAGTGAGGAAGGATTACACATTCTTTGCTTATCTCAGTTTGCCAGCCCCCACCCACCACTCCCTGCTTGCTCTCCTCAAGTCTGGGCTCCAACCTTGGCGCCGCCTGTGGCAACCAGACCCCTACCTTGAATTATCTATGGGTTAGTAAGGCTGGGGCCTTGGTTTATGAGGATTGGGGTCATTGGCATTAGTTGGACATTGGGCTTGTAAATTCACAGTTTGTTAACTAAGCAAGTACAGCAGGAGTTATAATGGTAAAAAGAATTGCAGTTAGCAATGAGCCATGTTTACTCTATTTTGGTTTTAACTCTCAAATGGACAAATGGGTGCTTCCAAAGATAATTCTGCAACTTGTTTCACCTTAAGACAGGGCATTATCCATTCAGACATTGCAGCCTGGAATTCCTCAGTAGACAACACATATTAATCGGTAATACACTCCCACTACAATTCTTATTTTATAACTTATCCATCATTTATTGGGAGAAATACATCAGAAGAGAAAAAACATAAAGATCTAAGACAAAAAGTTTCAAACATTAAATCCCCCTACAGGCTCTACAACCTCATAAATGACCAAACAATAATCAAAAGTATATCTTTATGATGTTAGTAAAATCGTACTATATTTCCTCTAGTTAAAAAATTACGAAAGCAGCTAAAACAACTACATTTTCTATGTTCTGAAGAATTGTAAGGACAGGCTAGCCTTTAAGGTCACAGTAACTATATATATATTTTTTGCCATAGCAGGATAGCCTTTAGGGTCCCAGTAGCTATGTTTTTGTCATAGTAAGGTGGCCTTTAGGGTTATAGTAACAACATGGCCTTTAGGGTCCCAGTAACAGGATAGCTTTTAGGGTCATAGTAACAGGATAGCCATTGGGGTTCCAGTAGCTATATTTTTTGTCATGGCAGTTTTAGCCCATATTCTCACCACTTCCATTAATTTGTAAAATTCTTATCAAGCCATTTCCCAGAAGGCATGCTAAATGTTTGGGCCAGATTTCAGGGCAATGGGTAGGCACACAATAAGGTGTCCAGAAATGGCATGGGCTTACTTGTATTCCTGTGTGCAGTTAAAGGCCTACTCACCAAGACATTATCAATAACATTAACTCTCAAGCTCATGTTGGTTGTCAAAGCCATCTCATAGGGGCAAACAATGCCTCAATAGACTACAAAATTCTTAGTGGGGTGCTTGAGTGTACATGCAAAAGGGGGTGAGACTACATCAAGGTGGACAGAGAGAAATCTGCCAGGCCCTGCCAAACAGCTGGAAGCTCTCCTGGGCCCTGCTAAACAGAGAAGAGCTGTTCTCTTCACACCTTTATGTTATTCACACTTACTGCACGGATCCCAGCAGGTCAGGTCCCAACACCAGCCAGTACACATTAGGGCTGGGAGAGGGATCTGGCTGGACTGGGCTAGGCTGTAACACCCACTAGCAGGAGCTGGAACTGGGGCCAGGTTGGACCGAGCCAGGCTGTGTAACACAATAATGGATACCAAGGTGAGGACAGCCAGGCCAGCCTGGGATCAGAGGGTGCCAGGATCGTGAGTCCCCGGAGGCAGAGGGTCCAGCGGGGTTTGGGTTGCCTGGCTTGGGTTCTGTGGCCCACCTGCAAGGAGGGTGCTGGGTTCATGAGCCCTGGGGGTGGGGGATGGAGCAGGGCTCAGGTCACCTAGCCCAGGTCCTGGGGCCTGCCTGTGAGGTAGGTTTCAGGTTCATGAGCTTCAGGGGTGGGGGATCTGGTGGGATTCCAGTCACCTGGCCTGGGTTCTTGGACCCGTTCATGAGGTGGGTGCCAGGTTTGTGATCCCCTGGGGCAGGGAATCTGGTGGGGTTTGGTTCACCTGGTCCGGTTCCTAGGGCCCACCTAGAAGTGCAAAAAGTGGATCAGTGGATACAGACCTTGATGCACAAGGAGAATGCTCATTGGGTACCATAGCAAAGGAAGGAGAACTGAACAAATCAGACAGCAACTGCAGCAAATGATGAAAAAAATCTGGGAGAATGGAGACTTGAGGTTGACAATGTCAGCCAATGGACATTGGGAGGACTACTTCACCTTGGACTGGCAAAATCGACAGCATTTCAGAACTATCCAAATCACTTGGACAGAACCCTTGGAGTATGCACCACATTGGGACCCTGGGTGGTGATTCCCCATCCCTGGGTAATTAGACATCTAGGAGGTTGGATGGGTTTCCCCCTTTATCTCTCCCTGTCCCCCAAGACAAGAAGAAAAAATGAAAAATTCAGAAACAATCATTTCACTCACTTTCCCTAACTCTTGATCCTTCCTATCCAGATCAATCATCTAATCATCAAAAATTTTTCTAAAATTAAAAAATTAAAACAATAGATAAAAGTTTTCTTTAACAGACAATGGAGGCTGCTGAGAGTTGGATTAAAACCTACACTTTGAAGATTCTGCAGAAACGGAAACAGGATGGGTTAGAAAAGGAAAGAACAGGGAGAGCTAGATGGTGGAATAGGGTGAGGAAACATTGAAGGGGACAGAGAAGGATTAGCAAAGCAGAAGCAGATAGGGTGTTCCCGGGTAATAAGAGTGAGCAGGCTGATGGCAGAGAGACACAATGGGACCCGTGGACAGTGGGAAGACAGACAGTGACGTGGTGCTGTAGTGAACAGATAGCCCACTCATGGAACAGCACTCCACTGGTGGATTCATGAGAAGTTCTAGTGACTTAAATCTGACCATGAGCCAAAACAAAGCAGCTCTGGGTCTAGAGCAGCAAACCACAACATTGAGATGTCAAGTTGGACTGACTTTTTAGTAAGGCCCTATTTGTACATGTTTTAGTAGGCTTTCAATATTTGATTAGAAGAGGGAGAACAAAAAGATGTGACTCGCCAGCCAAACTATTCTGCAATGTAGAAAAACCAAAGCCAGGTTTTATCTGTTGAGAAAATAAAAGAATCCTGACTCAAACCGTGAGGGTCTGTGTCCCTTGCCTTGGCACAGCTGACAGCTCTGGACCCTTCCAGAAGCATCCAGTGGTTGTATGTGATGTGGTCCAGTCTGTCACGGTTGCTTCAGTGACCTCCGACTCTGCCCTTGCTCCCTCCTTGCTTCTAGCTGTGGTTCCCTCCATCCTGAGGAGCAAAAGCCCTTAGACCCACCAATGGGTCACTGCTGTCCAGTGGGTAAGGTCGGTGATGACCCTGTTTACCCCTGTGCAGGCACACGCAGCCCGACTGCTGCCCAGGCCCAGTCGAGGTGCAGTAGTAGGTGGAGACAAAGGTATGGCCACAGCAGCTCCAGGTGTGTGAGATCTCTTCCCCACCACATGAGTGTGGCAACCAATCAACAACCCCCTCTGTGCTACTACTGTCACTTAAGTTGTTTTCATGGGTCACTAACTGTTCAGTGAACCAGGGTTTGTTTGGGGTTCTTTCTTTGGCTCCTTGGAAATTTAAAGATAGTTTTCTTTCCTCAAGTCTCTACTGATAGTGTCCAATGGGAAGATGCTGGGAAACGTTTTGTTTGCTTTTAGTTTTGCTTGAAACCTGTGTCATGTCCATTGCTGCTGCGCTGTTTCCCAATGTTTCTTGCAGAAAAATTACTTTATTTATGCAAGTCAGGTGACTCTTGGGCCACAGAACCATTTGATAAGCAGATTATCATTAGGTGCATATTTCATTGATATTTTGTGAAATGCTATGCCTGTGTTGCAGAAGTTGAATAATTCTGTCTTTACATATTGCTGTCTTCAGTATACAGCATGATTTTACTTAATTGAATGTTATTTTTTAATATTTTTCTTCTTATACAAGAGATCATGCATGCCCTTTTGTATGACATGTTTTAATAAATGTCACCTGTCAGTTTTGCAAAAAAAAAAAAAAGCATTTCAAAAATTCTTACAGGGGACATAGTACTACTAGCTGAAATGGATAGACATAAATTTATAATTATAGCATCAATCAGAAAATGTGAATATCCTGAAAAAAAAATCCTAAAAAATGTTTTAGGGTTTGAAAAAAAATTTTAACACAGGCTTAGAAGATAGAAGTCTCCATGTTCCACTAAAAGAAGAAAATAGAAACTGTTTACCTAAAAGTCCATCTGGCATATTTTGCCTTGGAGAATTCAGGATACAGTTTATACTTTTAAATACATTCTTATATTAATATTGACACTTGGAAGACATACCTTTTTATTAAAAAATTTATTTCTCTGTAAATACAAATTCCAACATTGACAAACAATAGTCCAGTGGAAAAATACAAGCCATTAACAGTGAAAACTTTAATTTAATAAATAGAACTTTGGCATTCAAAATTCTAGCTGTAAACGCTATTGAAAAAACAAAACAACCCCTTTATAAAAAGAAAGAGGTAAGAATATAGATCCGGAGGCATAAGCCAACCAGTGGCTTCACATTCTTTTTTACACTAACTGTATTTCAGTTAAGTCATGAACATTCTATTTACACGAGGTATTCTGGGTGGCTCAATAACTGAACCTGGTTTACAAAACCACCAGTCTTAGAGACCGATTACACTCTCTACTGTGCTTGTGATGTAACCACCTAGCACCTTATAACTTCTTGTCATCACATCAATGTGATGCTGAATTTTGTCAATATATTTAAATAACTATACATATATGTACATATATACACATACACACACATATATATATACACACACACAAATGAATACATTCTTAAGTTTTCCATTCACTATACAGCGAAGAAAGACTGGGCTCCAAAGACACAGCCAGTAACTCCTCTCATGTTTACAAAGGTACCCACTTAATAACAAAAACTGCTCCTTGCTTACAAAAAAGTCTTTAAGTCTATTTGCAGAACAACAAGGTGCAATAATTATCAGCAATCTAACAGCTAATATAAAAAGAAATGAATGCTTGCTTCAGGCAAAAAGGCACAAAAGTTCTCTCTGTATGCAGCTGTCACAGTGCTGCTAATGACTTACTGATCTGAGACTACGTTCTTACTATTAGTTTCAATATTTCTTAACAATAAGGAAAAACCCAAAACCTTTCCCCTTCATGATTAAAAAATGATAAAATCATATAGCAATATACCACTCATGCCATTTTGGGGAAAAGTTGGAAATTTTAGTCTTTATAACAAATAGGAAGTAATTTCTCTTGCTTTGTGAATACTGAAGAAAACTATCAACAAAGAAAACAAAATGAATGAATTTTTGGATCTGACAGCCTCAGCTACTGGCAGTTTCATACAGCCTGTCTGAATGATCATGGATGCTTACTATTGTAATCACAAATCTACAAAGATAGAAATAAACATAAGAAAATGCCAATAATCCAAACGAAAGGTGTGCCTGATCTGAACCATGCTATGTATAAATATGTCCAGGTTCTCAAGTTATGTCGCTCAACGAACTATTACTGGTATGTATACATTTCATCAATAAAGTAGTTCTTTTAAAAATATCCTCTGGGAGATTGCTATTAAGTGTTGCACAATGATAGAATTAATTTTTAAGCTTGTTAATTTTAAAACAAACCTTTACAGCCCTTGAGAACATACCTAACAAGTTATTGAAATGAGTCTAGTTCAATTTAAATGTATTGTCATGAACAAAAAGTATTTCAAGTATAATACTGCTAACAAGAAATACTGAATTCTATTTCACATATTAAGAGGGCCCACACATTTAAAAATAAGTTCATGGACATCTTACCTAACCCATACTTATGCTTTTTTAAAAATTAGAGGCCACCAAAAACCTGCCATCAGCTTAAATAAACTCATCCTTTTTTTTTTTTTAATTAAATGAAGTTAGTTCCATCTGCATGAGTTATTTGAGTCATTCACTGCGAAAACTGTTACTTTACCTCTGCTGGAAACTAACTGAGGCAGAACAAGCTCAACCTCAATGCCCAATGACCAATAATAAACTAATGTTCTATGAGATATTTCCTAAGAGGACATTTGATTCACAGAAGCATCATTTAAAAGAAGGTTCATTATCTACAGAAATTTTCAAATAGATTTACTTAAACTTTAGGTTAATTTTTATTTCAGGCATATGTCATTGTACTAACTTCCCCGTACGGTACCACAATTTAAATTGGGGTGAGAAGCTACCGGGCTACTATTTGCTCATCTTACCTGGATTAATACAAAAATCTTTTTTCAATGTAATACCAATATCATAGAGGAGGGTGTTTTAGGATAGAGTAATTTTCAGAAAAATAAAAGTAAAAAAATAAATACTGATAAGGTCAAATATGATTGGTTTCACTTCCCCAAAATGTCCTGAAACTGTCTACTTGTTATCAAGGCTACTTTATAAACTCCAAACTCCAAAAGATTAACATTTGTAATTAAAAATTATAGTAAAATTATCACATCTTTAAAAAAAGAATTATACCTGTGAGAAACTGAAATGCATCAAAAGTACTTTAGTCTTCAACTATTTGAAATTTTATCAGCTACCCTCATTAACTTACAAAAACAAAGGAAACTATATTTTATCCCAAGTAAGCCAGAAAAAAAAATGTTTCTAACAGATTAAAACAAGTATCTAAAATTTGTTCACAACAACAATCATAAAACATCAAAGCATACACTAGAAACTTTGGATGGTGACTAATTAAAGGACCTATGGAGTCAAATGAGGAATTATTTGTTCATTATTTCTATTATTTTAGTGTGCTTTTATTTCAAAGCCATGGTAGCAGGGAGGGATTCTAGTAAAAGTCAATGTAAAAATGTTTGCCACACTTATGGCCAGTCTGCATAAGATGTTACTAACTGTCCTACCGCACAGGGCCATTTTCACAGAAATTAATTTTGCAAAGCATAATTCTTTGCCTCGGATTCCTGACACAACTGTATTATTCCTTGACTGGTCAAATTACAAACATGAAAAAATCAAGCAAAACAATATAAAGTCAAGTTCTTACAGTGACTAAATCTCTCCTTAGCTTACAGGACTTGGGGCATAAAATCCCTACTAAGCACTGATTTTAGCTTAGCGCCCAAATCTAAGAAGAAAGAAGGGCACGGAGGACTCAGGCACTGCATGGAAGGGAAATCTGATGTCTTTATGAATGAATTGTAGCTGTTCATATATGACTGTAAAACAACTTAACGAGGACTGTATATAAGCCAAAAGTTCAAACTGTTTCTCTAGGTAGTGTCTTTGAAGACTTCGTCCCACATTTGCTACCACTGTTGAAAATAGGTTTAAGAAAAATATTTCCCAGAAACAGCCTTTATAAGAATACAAAAACCTGACAAGAAAACACACATAATCTGGTCTTGATCACCACAATGTCACCTTGTCTGATTCATACACATTACTCCTCCACCTCTTACTTAGTCTCACTCAAACTAGACTCGGCTACATCAAGAAATCAAATCAACATCAGAGGACGATATTTTACCATAAGAAAGCATTACCAAAATAGCATAAGTAGATGCTCTGAAGGTCAAAATATACGGTCTTCCCAAAATATCAACTAGCACATGAACTCTATTCACTTGGAAGTGTAAAAGATTCTGCATCTGCTTAATGATCAGTTGCATTTCATAGCAATACCCTGTACTCCAGATGAACAGCTAAACTAGCCAAATTCATAGTCATTGAAGGACCCTGTTTTGAATATTATCTACTAAAGGGAATTAATATCACCTAAGTGTAGATATATGCTAATGTAAATTTAGATACAAAGAATATGTGCTGTTTTTTTTTTCTTTTCTTTTCAAAATAGTTTCAACTCTAGATAGATAGAAAACTGTTAAAATGTAAACGTTGAGATTTGGATAAATAAGCCATTGTTCCAGAGTCACTGTGTTAATCTTTCTTTTACAATAATTATACCATACTTTAAGAGGTTTGCATTTAGTAATGTATGGCTTTGTCTAATGACAGATAAAATAAAACTATAAATAGCAAGGGATATGAAAATTAAAGTCAACTTCCTTGTGATACACAAATTATAATACTAATGAAAAAGCTTGTCATAACAAAATTTCATACCTCTAAGGCATCCACAATCACTCTGGAAAAACAGCTAACCTATCGACAGTACTAACATTGACTCAGTTCCATAATGTCATCATTCTAGCAGAGCAATTGTTCAAAATACCATTTGCACTGCTAGATCACTGCTACTGCATCTCTTGTTCGGACAACTGTTGAAAACTCTGAAGTATACACTAGCTTCTATACCAAAGAAATATACAAATAAATAATGTGTGCCTTTCTGAGTTTTGCTTTAATCCTAGAAATCCTTAAGATTCTGTAAAGAAAGTGTACACACACACACACACACGCACGCACACAAGCATACACTATACAAACATGCACTTACAAATACAAATTTCTAGGCTTCAAAGAAATTTTTTCCCTTTACCTGAAGGACATTCTTTCACAGCTTGGTCCTACCAATCAGTAGTTACAGAATACAATTTTTTTTTTAGACTTTATCGCAATTTTCAAATGACAATTTGACATTTTTGCCTGATTAGACAAGCTCTTTTAAAATCTCACATCTTTTCCCCTCAATTAAGTAAAAACCATCCACAGAGAGGGGAAAAAACCTACATGCAAGTCATATGTCACTTGCAACATTCCACGGTAAATACTAAATACAAAGGTGAAGAACTGAAACACAGCAGCATTTCACAATGGGTCATTATTGCTGTGGGACCAATACTTGATCACTGGGTAATGCAGTTGTCTCCCATATCCTGAGCATAGCGGTCTGATATTGTAGTCCTTAACTCATCAATATCTCTCCGTAACTGGCACACATCTGATAGCTTTTTAGTGAGCGTTTCTGGGCTGTGGTCATTCTCAGTCTCTTCTGCTGAACAACTCATTGCTGTGAAAACAAAGCATGGAAAAAAGGTCTCACATTGTTTTGAACAAAAACGTTTTAGGATTTTTACCTATTCATCACTGGAAGATAATACTACACCCTGAATACTAGCGAGGTTCAGGTTTAATTACACATCATTTGATAGTTAAGATTATCTGCTTGGCCTAAAAAAAAGTTATTTAGTTCATGTAACACACATAAATACAATAGGTGGAATGGATGATAATACTCCAAAAGTGAAAAAACTCTAATGGCTCTTCAAGTTTAACTACAGCATGCACTCATTGCTATTTGATCAAATCAGAGAGTGTGTGTGTGTGAATTGGGCTTCTGGAATCCTAAACAAGTGACTTAACTGGACAGTTCCACAGTGGCTGAATAACTGGAGGCAAAGTGATGAGTCAGTTAGCTTTTAATTACTTGCTTCAATATCTTTTGTGGCAAACATGTCTCAATATAAAAGCAAGCAAAGCCAGTAATCATGAAATAAATCTTCCTTATATCATCACGGGCCTGGTAATTTATTGGACTGCTAAATTAGATAACTTATTTTCAGTGTTAATATCTATCATGATCCAGCAACCATGCTAGATGTTGTTAAGGTCAGCAAAGTAATGGACATGGTGGCCTGTTCTCAAGGCTCTATGCACAATTTCATAAGCAAATGACCACAGTGAGGGACTGTAGGTGATCTACCACTACACACGAGCTGCAGAGGCACCAAAGGACGAGAACAATCAGTCCTAACTGGAGAGGTAACAGACACTTGCTTACTGGTTAGGACAAGAAGCAGAAATGAACAAACAGCATTACAGGCAGAAAACAAACCAGTGTGACAGAATTCGAGAAGCCTCAAAAAAAAAAAAAAAAGCAATATTCAGCTTTAAAATAATAAAGCACAAATTATGACAGGAAAGTGCCAAGAAATAAAGGTTCACAAGTAGTCAGGAACTACCTATCACTGTGAAATAATTAAACAGCCAGTTTTAAAGTTCGGATGATTAAAAGTGAAAAACATGGGAAATGGCTGGCAGACCAGTCCAGGTGATGAACTAGGGAAAAAAACAGGCTGTGCTTAGGACATTGTGGTCTCTGATTTTCTAAACTACCATATCTGAAAAACAGGTGAATTGAATTAGCAGCCTAGATACACTGCAGGGAAGGCAAGAGGCAAATACCTCAATGGGTGAAAGGTATAAAAATAACAGAAAATAGAGAATGGAGAAGATTATTGAAAAGTAATGAATAAAAATAAAGAAGGAGATACAAATTACAACATAACTTTTCTGGGGATCCCAATGACCAAGCTGGGGGAAGGCAGGCTCAGCAGGCTTTTGGTTCTCCCAGGCCTGGAAGCTTTTTGACCAGCACGGGTATGTGCAGCCAGGCAGCACAGCTCCCTAGGGGGGAGCAGGGTTGATTTTGTTTTGCTAACTTTTTTATAACGTTCCACCTAAGAGTCAATGAAACAGGAGGGTCGGGGGAGAGATGCGCTGAGGAGAGGGCGTGATAAGGCATGCTCATCTACTGTTTCACTTTCCAGATGCCCGCAATGGAAGGCCAGTCAGGAGCTGGCAAAGCAACCCACATGTGTCAATGCACAGCAGGACCCAGTTACTGGAGTCATCGCTGCAGCCTTCCAGAGTCTGCATTAGCGGACAGCTAGAATCAGGATTTGGAGACAGGAGCTGAACTCAAGCAGCCCAACACAGTATTAAACACTAGGGTGATAGCCACTCTCTGTAGTTAGACTGTAACGAATGCAGAGTATACACTGGGAGATGAGGATACCTAAATTCTTGAGTCTCCCTTTTCTTGAATACTCTCTTACTAACAAAGTTAACAAAATGCTATCTAGGAAAGTGAGTATGCAAACTGTAAAATAATGAAAGGCCAATCAGCCCTAAGTAGGAAGAGAAAATGAATCATACACATGTGAACTACTGCTTCTTGCTCCCCAGAGATTATTTCTAACTAAACCACCCCTTTTCACCTGGCAATCTTACCCTCTTTTTGTTTTCAGCCCCACAGCAAACATCAGACACTCGATGGAGTTCTGGCACTGTGTTTCCTACACTGATTTGGTGGCTTTTTTACCCACTTTGCTCCTACTACTTTTGTCCACATTTAAATTTCACTATTTGTCATAATGCTATAACAATTTCTTTAACATGTGGGCAAGGCATCTGTTCATAGTCTTTGTTTTACTAGCTCTTAACTAAGTGCATGGATCACAAAGACATCTTAAAAATGCTTGCTGAGTAAATGTACTTAAGCCTTGTTATTTATACAGTAACACTCAAATGTATAAACATTACCTATGAAGTGAAAAGTCCTATGACATTGCTAAGTACAAACATATTTCATTTAGCAAGTGATAAACTTTGATGAAAAACATTATTTGATTTGCCAACACATACCTATTATGATGCAAAGTGGTGGATTTCTTTTTGATGAAACTAACTGTAAATAAAACCAACCCCCTCTACAGTTTCATTTGAATTATATATTATTATTAGACAGTTAATCAACATAAAATGTTGGTTCAAAAATCTTATGTGGTCTTATACTATTACCTCCATACTGAAATCTGTCTCTATTAAAAGGAGATTAACATGCCAATATTCTAATAAATGATAACTATGAGGGATGAGCATTCCTGCAGCTATCACACAGAACAGAGCAGATATCAATACGATAGCTTTCACAACGAGCGGAGGAAGGAAGAACTTAAGAATGTGTGGCTGTCACACTGGAAGCGGCAGAACCCACAGGTAAACTGGCTCAGATCACAGTGCTGCTCATATTAAGGAACTAACATGTAAGACTCAGTGCAAAGAAAGCAAGTGAGTATCTTCTCAGAACTATTTATCAAAGGACATATGGCCAGCGTACTGAGAAACAACCCCACATGAAAGCAAACAGGAATATTACTTCTGGAAGCGTTACTGGGAATGTCGACTTTATTACGACTCCTGCCACACACTTGCAGATTTGGCATAAGAAACATCTCCATGGATTCTACCATGTGGCAGTCCATATCAACCATGACTCTGCTCACTCTTGTAATTTTAATGAGGCCAATTCTAGCAGTGATATAATACGAGGTACACCTACATTCACATATGCAGAAAGTTACAATTTTAATTAGGAAACAAAAATGCACAGGAAAAGACAGTCCTAAAAGTTCCTGATTAGTGAAGACAGGTTTCTCATGCTTAAAGAATAAAGTAAGGACAAATTATCAGCCACTTACATCTGATTCCTAGTAATAATGAAAGATTTGGCTCTTTGCCCTGAGCACGCTGATTAAGAATACTACACAATGCTTTCAAGTCAAACAAACAATAGGACATTTCCTTGAACAGCTGATCAATTACAGACAAATCAAATAGTGGCCGCTTAGAAAGCACGGTCTGCTGCTTAGACTGGTCGCCTTCGTGGCCCTGATCCAATAAAGGGCACGTGTCTTCTGTTTGTCTTTGGTTCTGTGATGGATAAAGAAAACAAAAACCAGGCTGTTAGAACAGGAACCGTGCTCATGGTCACATACAGGTTAACACTCTCTGCCCCGCAAGTCTACAGAAAAACAATAGAGTAACACTAACTACCTGCATACTAAAAATTTAACTGCACACCAACAATGAGGGAAAAATTTAAATCTAAGTGGTTCTCTGTCATTTAACGCTCTGGATTAAACCAGAGAGCCAAGGTAGCACCACTTTACAGCCTCTTTCTACAGAGTCTCACACACTGATCCACTTGGCTGTGTGCACCTTTTCTACAGTGAGATTTACTCCAAGCATACAAAGAGCTACAAAAAAGTTGAAACGCACAGCAGTTTAGTTACTCAACTATTTGTGTTGAGACCAAAAAATACTTGTGCTTATAGTGATAAGGAACCAAAATTTCAGTGTAAATGACAAAAGTATAAAATTAAGGAGAGAAAACAGAAAGAAAACCTAAACTGAATTACTAAATTGGAATTACATATGGACTAATGATTAGTAGTCAGAGAAACTCATTTCACTTCAATATGAAAATTACTAATTAAAGGTAAGCTTAATTAGCTTTCCAACTAGAATTGTATTTCCACAAAAAGCCTGGGGTGATGAGGGAAAGAGTTCTAGATGAATGCCAACTCGTATAGGTAAAAGAAGTGATGTGATTAGGGGAAAAAATCAGCAATCAACTAAAGACCCAGGCAATGACCATGTGTGGATGCCTAAAAGCCATGAAGCAAGAGAAAGAGTGCCAACAAACTTGGATATTCATACTTGCTGTTTGCGGGAGTTGTAACTTTTCAATTAAAGAATGAGGCTGTCATTACTTTAGCCCCATCAGATTGGTATTTGTGTGTCACTTATAGCGGAATAATCAAACACTATGTAATCTGATGAACAACACCTATAAGGTTTCATGCCAAAAAGTTTGTCATGAATTTAGTGATGGCTTTAGCTCTAGCTTGTGCTTTTTAAGAGACACAGGATAAACAAGATAATAATGAGTTACAAAATAGCTCTACTATAAGCCTATGAGATAACCAAGTTTTTTCAGCAAGTCAATATCCTGAAGGAGAGAAGTGGACTTTGCATCTCCCAGGCACAACGATGAAATGCATGCATGGTCCTTGAATGAACACTAGCCTCAGCAGCCACACAGAAAGTGTTTCAAAAAGTTTATGGAAAACACATTGTATAAAAAATTAAATTATAAAGCAGCCTCAGAGTTTTCCACAAAAATGAACTCATAACCAATTTTCATAAACTTTGAGATACTGTCATATACAAAGTACTTGAAAACTAAGTGGTAGAAATTTGAATATGAAGAATAAAAGTGTGTTAAGGAACTCTTTTTGGATGTGTAAATGGTATTATGAATATACAGGAAAATATCTTCACATTTCTGAAGAGCATTAGAAACAAAATGTTCTGAAAGTTATGGTAGTTTATGAAGCCTAATACAAGCATGCATACACACACACACACATTCACACATATATATATTTAAATAGCATGTCCTTAAATACAAGCCAAATACTTCATCTACATAACTGAGACATTGGGATCTTTTTTGTTTTTAAGATTTATTCATTTTTATTGGAAAGCAGATTTACAAAGAGTAGGAAGAAAAGGAGAGACAGACGGAAAGATCTTCCACCTGCTGGTTCATCCCCAAATGGCCACAACTGACCAAAGCTGAGCTGATCCGAGGCCAGGATCCTCTTCTGGATCTCCCACATGTGTGCAGGATTCCAAAGACTTGAAGCCACCTTCCACTGCTTTCCTGTGCCATAAGCATCGAGGTAAACCAGCACCTATATGGGACGCTGGCACTTGTAGGTGCAAAATCAGCCAATCAAGTCATTGTTCTGACCCCAAGACAGTGGTCTATTTTAATCCTTAGGTGTTAACACTGCACCTTTCTTAAGAATTTTCAAGTATAACCTTTTGGATCGAATGTATGTTTTATTTATTCACTTTGGGACCTAAACTCTATGTGCTATCTGATTATGCTGTAGTCAAATTATGTACTAAGATACAGAAAAAAAAATAAAAATCATCTAATTAAAATTTTGGTAAGAAATCTAGTGGATTTAACAAACTGAAACACCAAATCAAATTCTCTCTTAAAATTCTTCTATTAATATGTACAAAATAAGCATTTACTTAAGTAGATAGTAAAGCATTGTTAAGAAACATGTTGAAATTTTGCTACTCACTTCAAGTAATGCCTTTGTTAATCTCTGCAGGTTTCTTTCTTTCCTTTCCAGATCTTCCATCATCTTTTGAGTTGTCAATTTTTCTTTAGAAAGTTTTCCTTGCATTGACTGAAGGAAGAAAAATTTGAAAACACAGCACGTTAATACTCTAAGAAAAGCGCTAATCAAAGTAGAGGTAACCAGGAATACTGGCTCCTGATACTTCCAATATTCTTTAATTCCCAGTTGCTTCAAAGATGAAACCTGCCTCTTGAATCATTTGTTATTTGCAGAATGAATGACTCCAAAGAAAACAGCACTACTTATATCAAGAGAGGTTTTTAATCAGGGTAAACACATGTCAGACCTAAAATTACAGTTTAAGGCTGTATCACAAAAATATTATTTTTTGATTTAAAAAAGCATTAGGAACATATGAGCAACACATCTATTTATTTTTCTTCTAACACTTAATATGTAAGAAATCTCATGAGAACATTGCTATCTTTTCTATCATCTGAAGCTCAGCTAAACCCTTCTCAAGGTGTATAGTACTCTAAACAATGAATATGATAATGAACTCTCTTAAAGGTCAACTGTGGAATTCTGATATGTAATCTTACGCCATCATAAAGTTATAGACTATCTAGGTATAACACTGTTTTAAGAGTATCCTGCATATACCAAAGCAGTAAAGACCTTTAAAGTGTATTTAGTTATTCTGATTTTTAGGTACATACTAAAGAAACATTTTTCCTATGCTCCTTAGTTAGTAGTAATGGGTGGGGTTTAAAAAAAAAACTTTTCCTTTTTCATATTTATTTTATTTTTACTGGAAAATCAGATATACAGAAAGCAGAAGAGACAGAGAGAAAGCACTTCTGTTGATTGCTTAACTCCCCACGTGGCCGCAATGGCTGGAGCTGTGCTGAAATGAAGCCAGGAGCCCAGAGCCTCTTGCAGGTCTCCCAAGTGGGTGCAGGATCCCAAGGGATTGGACTGTCCTCGACTGTTTTCCCAGGCCACAAGCAGGAAGCTGGATGGAAAGTGGAGCTGTCAGGATTAGAACCAGTACCCATATGGGATAACAGCTCATGCAAGGCAAGGACTTTAATCAAAAGATTGGGCCCCAATCTTTTCCTTTTGTGGTGATTCAACAACGCTATCATATTGTTTCTTAGGGAAGAACAGGGGTTATATGTTTATCAGTCACAAGTCATGTTGAACGTAAGTAATAATTAGCAGAAAATCCAGCTATATTTTACTATGGAAGAGGGAATTTAAGTAAGTGAAAATAGGCCATCTCCTAAACAACTCTAAAATGTTTGTCAAAAGTGCCATTTATGGCAGGAAGGAAAAATTAGACTTGAGAAATATTAGGTTCAACATGTCCTGTTCACTAGGTTTAAGGGAAGCTCTCTAATAGGGGCAAGAGCTCAGATATTTTTGTCCCAGAAGGAAGAAATGTGGTACAATTTCCAAGGTAGCACTACATATGATTGCTATAGTTTTCTAACAGAGACATTTTATCTAAAATATTATTACATCTTCGAAGTTGTATGAACAAAAAGCACATGCTTAAACACTGAAGATAAAAGGAAGTAAAAAGAAAATTTCTACTAAGCTTAGAACAGTCAGTCTCACCAGATTAAAAAGGAAACAAAAAAATTTGCATATTAATCAAGGTCTCCAAAAAGTAGCATAATTCAGGTACACAATGCCATCTCTAATTTTTAAAAAGCTAGTCTAGAGCGGCTGTCATTGTAGTACAGCTGGTTAGGCTGCTGCCTATAAAGTCAGCATGCCATGTGGGTGCCAGTCGAGTCATGCCATTCCACTGAAAATGCAGTGGGAGATGAACTGAAGGTTTGGGCACCTGCCACCAACACGGGGACTAGTGTGAAGCTTCGGGCTCCGTGCTTCAGCCTGCTGTAGCCCTGACTGCTGCAGCCTGTGGGGGAATGAATCAGTGGATGGAAGATTTCTTACTGTCTCTTCCTCTTGTAACCCGTTTTTCAAATAAATGCCTAAGTCTTGTCAAAATCAAAATCATTGTGTTTTTTTTTAAATATTTATTTATTTTTATTGAAAGGCAGATGTACATAGAGGAGGAGAGGCAGAGAGGAAGATCTTCCATCTGATGATTCACTCTCCCAGGGCCGCAACGGCTGGTGCTGCACCAATCCCAAGCCAGGAGCCAAGAACTTCTTTCCGGGTCTCCCACGAGCGTGCAGGGTTCCAGTGCTCTGGGCCGTCCTCGACTGCTTTCCCAGGGCACAAGCAGGGAGCTGGATGGGAAGTGGAGCTGCTGGGATTAGAACCAACACTCATTTGGGATCCTGGCGTGTTCAAGACGAGGACCTTAACCATTATGTTATCATGCTGGGCCCCAAAATCATTGTCTTTTAACAAACTGGATTTTGCCAGGTATTTCACTTAACATCCGCATAAGCTCTAGAAATGCATATTAGTATTTGTAAGTGTAAACAAATGATGTTTATTGTTACACGTGACTCCATAGCATTATTTAGTTATTTGTATTTGTATCATTTTTATGCTGTCAAGAAAACTTAAAATTTTTAATTTTTCTAATATGAAAAATGTATATTACATACCAAAAATTCTGCATTATGACAGTTCTAGAATTTTAAGAATGTAATTACTCAAAACCTGAATATTTCAGTATAAATATATGAAATGATCCACTTTCTGAAATGTTAGTGTTAAGCTTTGTGAAATTTAGAGTATCAATGAATTTTTGCTTCATTAAACATACAGGATTAATAAAATTAAAAATTTAAAAATTTTAAATTCTTAGTTTAATAATATTTTTAAGAATTCTGACAACTTGCTAATTTGCAGGTAATAACATGATCATTCTGGAAGTTTCAAAGTGGCCTGAAGCACAGCTGCTGTTACGCTCTGGGGCTGCACAAATGCTCCACAAGCCTGTGGTTCAGTGGGAGGAAAGTCAGATGTGTCTTAGCTAAAAGATTTAACTCAATTTAAGAGGAAATATTTTGAAAGAAAGCTTATGTTGATAGTTCAAACATACATGAATTATATATATGCATGCATTCAAATGTACTCTAATGCCATTCATGCATTTTACAAATACATTCTTTGATATAGTCATTCAGAAAAAAGTAACTGTCAAAAACTGTCAGTGTATTAAGTGACAAAGTGAACAGCCAACACTATGTACTTCCCACTTCTCTGGATATACTTTAAAAGTACTTAGATGAAAATTAATGAAGTGAAAACATTTCTTCTTAAACATTCTAAAGTTAGATTTTCTGTTGTGTTTGTTTTCGTTGGTTTGGTTTTACTGTGAGAGCGAGGTTGCCAAGTCTTTGAGTCCAGTAGATTATTTTGATCATCTGATGGCATTAAGGGTTCCCTGGTTTATTTTCCTTTACCTTTCAAATCAGTACAGATAAGGAGTCAGTGAAAGGAGAAATCGCTCCTTATTTGGTGTTATTATGAAAAAAGGTTTGAGTTCACAGCCTGTTAAAGAAACTGACAAACTTTCCAGGGTGTTTGGAGTCAACTTTGGAAATCTAATGCAGTAGCTGTAATGTACAGATATATGTACTTAATTGACATGTTTCTGATATACTGATTATATTGATTTTCTCTTTAATTTCTAATAGTTGCATAATATTCCTCAAAATTTAATTTCTAATGTTCTCTCCTTCCAACTCTTTTTACATGACCCAAATAATTAATCATGATAACTGATACACAAAGTGTTTAAAAAAAAAAAAAAACTACAAAGCCCTTGGCCTTTGTGGAATACGGGGAAAAGACCAAAAGAAATACAAATACGCAAAGTAGGCAGTATTCTATTTTACAATTTCATTACAGCTATAGAAAACAGACAATATAGGAGAGAGGGATTTGAAATGTTAGGTGGGGAAAGGGCTCAGTGAAAAGGTGACACGTGAAGGAAGACAGGAAGGACAGAAGGGAACAGTGTCCCACAAAAAGCTAGAGCATGTCTCCATCAGCACTACGGCAGATGGTATCTTCTGTGTTTGAGAAAACAGGAAGACAGCCAAAGCAGTGAATAATGATAGGAGATGGAGGCAGAGAAGTGAGGTGGCAGAGCAAACAGAATGCTTAAGGCCTGTAAGTCAGTGTAAAAAATTGAATGTTTACAGCATGTGTGTGGGCTGGATAGTAGAGCTGGCTGGGTTGAACTAGATCTCAATGCCCATTGACATGTATGAAAGCTGAATAGGATGTGGGACAGACTGGACTAGTACATACTGCCAAGCACGGGAACTAAGGCAGGGGGCAGGCCTGGTGGGGGTTATTGTGGGTCGCTCGGATGAGGCTGCAGCTCCCACTGGTTTATGTGAGAGCCGGGTGTGCTGGGCAGAATCAGACTGGATGGCAACACCCAGTGGAAGACAGGGCTGGAGAAAGAACCGACCCAGAAATTGCAACCACCAGCTGATTGGGGCAATGGACTGTGGTGGGCCCTGTACTTGCAAGTACACACAAGAATCTGGTCTGGGATCACCTCAGTTTCTTTAGGGATCTCCCCAATTGAACTGCCGGACTCAGAACCCCAACCAAGAAGAGAAGTGCAGGTTCCACAGTCTGCCACGGAGTGCAAGAGCCAGAGCCGAGCCTTCTCGGAGGCTCAGATGGAGCAGAGGACAGCACAATCAGGTGTGCATGGAGGATATGGCAGTCTATGGGAACCTGCGGAGGATACCTGGCACCACAACAGAGGACAGAACAAATCAATCAACTACCCCAGCCATATGTTGGCAGTGAAAAACTATTATAGTGGATTCTACTATTTTTGCTCAGGCTAACCTAAGCTAGTTCTGTGATCAAATGACTTCTACCTGTTAGAAAATATTTTCGCAAATGAACACCTCAATTCCTTCTTCCTTAAATATTAAAGAGTCCATTCTGCATTCAATATAGTAGGTCAACTTCCTTGTGGACAAAGTTTTTTGCCTGTTTTGTTCAAGCCACCTCTACTTCAAGTAGAAATTCGGTAAATATAGTGTATAAGCTAAATGAATGAATCAATGAAAACTTATCAAAGAATAACCATTCAAACATTTAGTTTTTGTTAAAATAAAAAGCTACATTTACTCATTCAACTA